ATTGCCAGTCTTTAGGCGGCACGCGGTATCTAGAGAAAACGACACTATCACCACCACCACCACCACCTGTGCAGCACGCGGCCAGCAGGGTGGGTGTAGTTAGTGTTTAGAGCCATAAATAATATACTGAGGTGGCCCATATACTCTTCTCGAGAAGAGCTGCCACGCAAACGCACAACTGTTATGTCCACCTCTCTGCAATACATATGCAGTTCATAGCCAGCATGCAGCACGCCAATACAAGTCAAAATCTATGCTTTGCTCTGCACAGCCCCCATATGCCCCCCGTTGGGCTTCGCGGGGGGCTGCTGCAGGCCTTCATTCATCTTTAGCGTGCGGGGACACTACCCCAAGTAGTGTATACACCAGAGCTAGTAGAGCAGGCGCTGAGCCTGTCTCATCGTAGCTTAGTTAGCATGATGCGGAATGTATGCGCACCCCATGGGGGGCCCCTGCAGCATATACCCTGACGCTCTTCCTGCCAGGGGAGTCAAGGCTTTCTCTTCATCTTCTCGCGGACGCACAACGACCCAAGGAAGCGTGGCTGGGGGGCGGTGGCCCACGGCCTCGCCGCGGGCCCTGCCAGGGCCCCCCTGCCCCATATGCTCTGTTTTGTCTGGCATATTCCGCGTTCTGTTGTCGTCTTTGGGTCTGTGGAGAGTGAGTGGGCTGGCGAGTGCCCAAGGGGCCCCTGGGGGCCCGAAGTGGGCCCCCCCCTTAGGTGCCCCTGCTGCTGGATCGTGTCCTGGGAGCAGCATCATTCCATTGGGTTGTCTATTTGGCAGAAGAGGAGAATTCTGATTCATCTGCTGCTTCGAAGAAAGAGCGGCGTCGGCGTTGAAGCCGAAGCCACAGGAGTACCCCGCCACAGACAAGAGCTCCTCCCCCAGTGAGGTCTCTAGCTGAGCAGTTGGCTGCTCTACAAAGGGACGAAACTGTAAGAAACTCTCGGGGCTCCTCGGGGTACCGTCAGCAGGCTGAAAGAGAGTAGCGGGAACAGCAGCGGGTGGGGGGCCCCCCCCAATAGGGTACGGAAGGGTTGGGGGCAAGGGCCCACCGGAGGGGCCCTCGTGGCTCGGAGGTGCAAACTCGCCATGCGAAAGATTCACCTCTGCCTCCTGCATTTGTGGATTGGTAGAGAGGGGCATCATGGGGGCCCCCTCGGGTGCACGCGGGGCGGTATGTGTGGGGGGCCCCCCTCCCCTGCCTTCTGTGGGGGCAACGAAGGGCTGGCAGGAGAAGTAGCTTGGAGCATAGATACCCCCAGAGGTCTTGGAGGGACAGGGTCCTGGGGCGGTTGGGGGCCCTTCTGCTGCATTGCAGCTGGTGAGTGGCAGAGCTTCATCTGCAGTTGTGGTGACAGCCGAAAAGAACCCCGTGGTGGCATCGGTGGAGAAGGGAGATCTTTCCTTTGGTGAGGGTCTACCGCACATGGGGCTATCTGCTGTTGTGAAGACTCCCCTGCACTGCATCAGTGGCAGCTGCAGCTGCAGCGGCAGCTCCGGGGCACGGCTGCCACCTGCAGCATCGGTTTCTCCTGTTTCTGAGAAAGAGGGGCCCCAAGGGACTGGCCCCTCAGCCTTGCTGCCCCCTTGCGAGCCTGCTCCCCCCTCGTCCTCCGGCAGCTCTCCTACATCGCCCTCTCCAGCACCTCCTCTTTGTACCCACCCTGCGGGGGCCTCACCAGGGCCCTTAGGGGCAAAGGCAGCCCCTGAGGTAGAAGTAAGAGGGCCCCTAGACAGGCCGTGACCAC